AGGGCAAGAGGGTGAACCTCATTGTCTCCATTTTAAAGGGTTAACCCTCAGTTGATCAAAATCCCATCTGACAAATCCAGTCGCCATTTTTTTCTGACACCCTCACCCGGGAGAGGCAGAGTAAGATATCTGAGAGGTAGAAACACAGAGGGTCAAGGCCAGAGGCCACTGAGTCCAGCTGTTTTCTCTTCCCTCCTCTGCTCCGCTGCTTTGCAAATAGAAGTACAGATGCTACGACCCGGGTGGACAGGTGCACATGGCGATGGACCATCCAACAGTCAACCACACAATGTGCTGGCTCACCAGCGAAGCAGGGGCACTAGAGATAATTTCTGAAAGAATTTCGCGTTTGGTATTTCAAAGCATCGTCCAACTGGCCCATCCTAGGAAATACCCGAGTTTGGCTGGATCTCCTTACACTTAATTTACAGGTTAGGGTTCTTGTTTTACTCTGAATTACCTAGTACATGTGAACGATGCAGGCCAGTGCTTCGGGCCCGCAGGGTGCTCTTTCCCAGGGCACAGAACGTGCCACCATAACCGGCAAGGGTGCTCCCTGTCTGGATTGTCCACCAGCCAGTTACGCAGCTAGACAGAAGAACCGGTCACTGAATGTACAACCTGAAGCCATGCTTCGCGTCCATCACCCCCTCTCATCATCCAAGCCTGCCAGGGAGTGTTTATGCCCTTCAGCCAGCGAGAATCTGAGGGTCCGTCCAAGGCCACGGCAGGTGAGGGGGAGAGCAGAGGCTGTTCTGGAGCCAGGCTGCTGCAAAAGCCTAAGCCCCGCCTGGCAACCAAGAGGGCTGGCTCCTGGACCAGCTCTGCCACTTGCCTGCTGTGACTTTGGGTCCCTGAGCCTTGGTTTTCTCATCTGGGCAGTGAGGGCTTTGGAAGAAAAGATCTCTGGGGGGTTTCCAATTCAATGAGCCCTTTTCTGAGAGTCCCCTCTGTGGTTGACAGATCGGATGTCACAATGGTCCACACGCAAAGGGAGAGGGTGAGGACTATCTGGCCTAGTGAGCACCTGCTGCCAGCCACATTCTCTCCCTTCATCTTGTCACATGGACCTTAGTGGTCAAGTGTGTGGCTTGTGAGTCAGAAAGGCCCTGATTCCAATCCCAGCTCCTACGTCCAGCGGCGTGACCTTGGGCAAGTCATTTCCCCCTCCTGGGGCTCATTTCTGTCATCTGTGACCTCCTGGGTTGTTGTGATCCTTATGGGGAGACATAACGCTTAGCTTAGACAACGCTTACACGTGAGCCTGGAACACACAGGGCTCAGAGCTTGCTAGTGTGTCCGCCAGTGACAAAGCCTTGCTTTGCTGGGGGAAAGGCTTGGCCAAGATGATCTGAATCCCACCCAGAGGTGCACCTTGTCCACATCTGCCAGGGTATGTGGTCTAAGATCCCGCAGCCCGTGTATGCACAGCCAGCCTGGATCCTGGTTGCCTGCATCTTGTGTCTGTCTTCCTGATCTCCAGCCCCAGTTCTATATCCCTCCCACCATATCCTTGCCCCATCTCTCCACTTTGGTCTTTGCTGAGCTCTGGCGCCCCCCCGCCCCCATCTGTCAAACCCTGCCACCTTGGCATCTTCTGTGGTGTCTCATTTGTGGCTTCCAGCCTGGCCTGGCAGGGAAGCACCAGGCAAGCGCTGAGCTGTGGCTTGCTAAGCCCTCCAATCCCTCCTTCAGCCAGGCCTGCTGGGGTTCTCTCCCTCAAGATGGGGCTTCTTTGCAGCACTGTGCCCTCCAATCACACAGGATTGACTTCTTGGCCCCTCCTAGAGCATGTGTTGGGAGGGGACTTGCATCTGGGATTTGCTGATAATGAGAACAGCTCTGTGAACAGCCCTCATGGGCTCCAGAACTTAGAGCCAATGGGACAGCTTTTATTGACATTATTCTCTCTGGTCTTCAGAAGACGCAGGGGTGACAGGCAGCCCAAGAGGAGGAAACTAAGGTCCAGAGAAGCGAAATGACTTACCACTGCTTATGCCGATGTTTAGGATCAGAGCTGCAGGGCAGAGCCCGGGCTGCATTTCCAGGCCTGTGCTCGGCGGTTTTCCATTGTGGGGAAGGGCAGAGGGTCAAAAGTGAGGAAGTCCTGGGTTTGTGTATTGGTTCTAATATACGTTAGCTGTCACCTTAGGCAAGTTCTTTAACCCTCTCTGAGTCTGTGTTTTTCTATCAGTAAAATAGAACATAATACTACCTATCTCATAGAGTTTTTGAGATGATTTAATGAGATAGGGAGTATTGGGTGCTTGGAGTGAAATATGATTATCTGAAAATTACCCAAGGAGTTCTCTGTGTTCTACGTGGCAATATCCAGGAGAGAGCCTGCCTGCATAGATTTAATTTGCCAGGGGACTGGTGGCGTTCATTTCCTGCAGGAGAAGACGCAGCTTTCATGGGTTCTGAGGGTCTCAGGAGGCCAGCTGGTTTTACCAGGAGCTACAGTTACTAGATGGCATCTAAGCTCAGACTGCGTAGTATCCAGGAGTCAGTTTGTTCTGCTCATAAAGCTACTCTCTTGCTCCCTTCCTCTCAAAAGAGAAGCCGTCAGGGTCAGGGCATTAGACCTACATCTTAAGATGTATGCGTGTGAGCTGTTGGCAGCCAAGGCTGAGCTGCTAGAGGGCAGGCGACCAACTGTGCCTACTGTAGTCTATCACTCAAACCGCTCAGATTCAGTCACTTATCACAACCTAGGATTTCCAGGACTCCGATTAGTCTAAAGGGTCCCCTGCCGTTGCAGCCAGCCCCGTGGCTGCGAGTGATGCTCATCCTCTCTCTCCTCTACCACCCATTCCAGATTCCCTTCTCCTTTCGCTTCACTTTCAATCACCTCGGTTGGTCTAGATGGATTCCCTTCTAGCATGACCCAGACCCTCATCCCTGACAGTTCCGAGCCCTGGTTACTGTGCCTCATCAGGCTATGATTGCTCTCCTTGCCCATTTATAGTGAAAGTTGGTCGTGGAAGAAACAAGAAATGCTCCCGTGCCTGAATACCAGCCTCCTGGCCCCTGCTGTGTATGAGCAGTCTTACTCCCTCCTGAAGATCAGGGTCAATTACCCTTGCAGGTATCATAACTCCTTTTTTGACTGCTAGTATGCTTGCACAGTGGGCTTAAAATGACCAGGCAGCTGTCGTAGCTTTAAATTTAGTGAGACTTACTGTGTCTCCTGTGGAATCAGTACCATTTAATCCACAGAAGCTAAATTGTAGGGACTGGGAAGACAGATTCCCCACAATGGGTCACTGTGGGTGACAGTGAGTGGAGCCACTCTCCCAACCACCCACTGGTTCTTGGCAGGAAACATCACTTTTTAATGGGTATCCAAGCTGAAAATGGATCCTTCCCTTTGGACGGGAATATGGACTCCATTAACATTCCCTGATTGGAGCAGCTAGTGGTTTTCTTATGCAATTATTTCAAGCCTCCCACCCGCCCTCAACTATACTGCTGACACACAAGTGCTTGCTAACAGACGAGTGACACCAATGCCAAAATTATAAGAACTTAATAGGAAAAAAATTTGACATTGAATTAAATGCAAACTTCTTGGCCCCCACAACCCCCTTTACTTCTCTCTGTCCTATCACCTTATATTATTCACTGCATGTGACTCCCCACTAGATTATGGATATCTTGAGGACAGCAATTGTGTCAGGTTCATTTCTGTCTCTGGCATCTAGTAACATTTTTTTCTGAATGATTGGATGATTGTATTCATCACATTAATGATTGATGAAAATTGTGAAAACTACAATTATTCTATAGCACCAGAGGGAAGCGTTCTTGATCCAGTATTTGAGGACCAGGTTTTAGCTGTTTGCTCAACTGAGTGAAGCCAATTTAGACTGTTGAAGTTCATTTTAAAATAGTTATTGTGTTTCTATTCTATGCTAAGCATTGTCATTAACGCCCAGGGATCTGAACTAGTTGTGTCTAAGGATCAAGGGCCCCCAGAATGCCCTGGGTCCCAGGGACATACCTTACTGGTGATGGCTGCTTTGACATCCTTGTACCTCAGCGTGTAGATGAGAGGGTTGAGGACAGGGGTGAGGACAGCATACACCACATTGCCCATGATGTGAAAGTCGAGGGGCAGGTCAGCCCTATAGGCCACATAGGCTATGGCAATGGATGAGTAGTAGGTGCCAACCACCAGGAGGTGGGAGCCGCAGGTGGAGAAGGCTTTTGAGCGTCCTTCTCGGGAGCTGATGCGAAGCACTGAAGCCAGGATGTGGGCATAGGAGAGAAGCACCAGGAGAAGGGGCAGGAAGGATACCACCATGGCGATGCAGAAGCCCATGAAGGTCTGGGGCGTGGTGTCAGAGCAGGAGGCCTGGACCACAGCCAAGTGGTCACAGAAGCAGTGAGAGCTGTGAGCAGTGTTGTCAAAGGCCAAGTGGGAAGTCTGCACCACTGCGGGGATGGGCAGGGGGAGGGCAGTGAGCCAGGCACAGGCTGCCAGGGCGGCGGCACTGGTGTGCGGGGTCATGAGGACAGGGTAGCGCAGGGGGCGGCAGATAGCCACCTAGAGGTCATGGGCCATGGCCACCAGGATGAAGACTTCTGAGCAGGAGAAGCGGTGGAAGAGGTGCATCTGCAGGAAGCAGGCGGGGAAGCTGAGGAAGCGGTCCGCAAGCAAGAGGAGGGACAGCATCTTGGGGACGGTGGTCCGGTGAAGAGGATGTCCAGGGCCGAGAGATTGATCAGGAAGAAGTACATGGGCTTGTGGAGGCTGGGATCTGCCACCACAGCCACCAGGATCAGGGCATTTCCCAGCAGGATGAGCAGGTAGATTAAGAGGAAAACCAAGGGATGCCTGGGTGGCTCAGTCGGTTAAGCGTCTGCCTTCGGCTCAGGTTGTGATCCCAGGGTCTTGGGATCAAGTCCCGCATCGGGCTCCCTGCTCTGCGGGGAGCCTGCTTCTCCCTCTGCCTCTCTCTCTCTGTGTCTCTCATGAATAAATAAAATCTTTAAAAAAAAGGGGGGGGGGAACCAAGCAGACAGGGAAGAAGAAGGATTCATGCAGAGATGGAATGCCCCCCAGTTAGAAGACAGATGAGTAGTCCTCTGATCCATTACAGATGGCTTCCATCATGGGTCAGGGCTGGATGTCCACTGTTCTGGAAACCAGAACAGTCAGGGAAACATTAACTAAAATATTCATCTTTTTCTTTTCAACTGTGGATCTCAATCCCAGCAGTTTCTTCGTGTCTAGAATTTCATTGCACAATTAAGAAACCCAGGATGGTGAGAGGTCTAATGAGCAATGCTTGAAAGAGCTGGTCCTGCCTGTTGGGGAAGAGAGAAGGACACCCATGAAGGGCTGTCCAAACCCCACATATGGAATAAGTCTTATAATTAGAACTAACCCATAAGGCACAAAATTGACTTGAAAATTAGTAAATTCCATATAACTAGAGGTATACAAGGCTGGGCCTTTTTGGTTGAAATGCTACAGAGAAGTTTTAATATTAGGGTAGGTGCTAGATTACAAAATCTTTATGCAGTCTTCTAACCCTAAATCCAAAAAAAAAAAAAAAAAAGCAACAGGGGCACCCGGATGGCTCAGTTGGTTAAGCGTCTGCTTTTGCCTCATGTCATGATCCTGTGGTCCTGGGATTGAGCCCTGCGTTGGGCTCCCTGCTCCTCAGGAGTCTGCTTCTCCCTCTCCCTCTGCCTGTCACTCCCCCTGCTTGTGCTCTCTCTCTCTGTCAAATAAATAAATGTCTTTAAAAAAAAAGGTAACATAAATGAACCACATCAATCAGATTGTGGAATTTAGTGGACAAACTTATTCCATCTGAGAGGAAAAGTCTTGAAAAGCATCCATTTCAATTCAAATGTCAATTAAAAATGAAGCCGCTTCTTTGTTAGTTCAGTAGCTCTTTTAAGGGGGTCTCATGGGGTAGCCTAGTTCTTGCCACCATGGATGAAGGAACATTCTGGGTATAGAAATGTTGATGGGACCCTCACCAGACTTTGCCCACTGTTAGCACTAGAATCTTGAGTACAGTCATTTGGCATAAGCCCATCCAGTCCGGGGATCTCTACACGGCAGTTGCTGGATGGAGTTCTTTCGTCTGAGACCTTGGAAAGATAACAAGATCACTGGTTGAGGATGACGAAGCTAAAGCCTGCAGTGAAAACTACATACTTTGCAGTAAAGTTCCCTTGATTCTACCTTCCTATCTCTGAGCCTAAGGCTGTCAGTGGCTTCTGATAGAGGCTTCCAGCTCATGAGCTCTACAGGACTGGTGGGAACACTTCTTTGGAGACTTCGAGAGAACCATTTCTGTACAGCTCTGGATTCGATTCCTCTTCTACATCCCACTCATTCTTGTCTCACTCCATCTGGGCTGGGATGTTGTGTCTCTTGAATCAGCATCCCTTGTCTCTTATATTTCCATTCCCTTGAGGGATTCCCTTTCTGGGCCATCTTATTATGGTATTGATAGGGAGAGCATCTGCCTCCAAGGAACACTACCGACCGCTGTCTCCTTAACCCGAGAATGGCTTCCCTGTCTCTGGAGCTGCTAGTGGGGCCCTCCGTCTGTCTCTGTCTAACTTGGGTGCCTGTGACCTGTCTTTGCATCCTGGCTCTTTGTCATATCCAGGGAGCAACCAGAACTGATTTTCCCAGAGCTGCCTGGTTTTAGTCCTGAAAGTTCCATGCCCCAGGAAATCGCTCTGTCCTCAGCAAACCCAAATGTTGGTTACCCCAGAAGGGTAGAGGTACTGTATGTGACTTTGGGGGAAGGAGTCACTGCCTGAATGGAATCCAAGTTGAAAATGAATTCTCCCTATTGGGAAAAAAACAAAAATAAAAACAAACCAACCTAGCCTCCAGGGGCCTTCCATATGTCTTCCCCCTTCTAGCTGCTGCAGCTTGGCAGTTGTTACTCATTAGCCATTTTATGCCCAGCACCCTGGAGCCTTCCTTTCTTGGCCTCAGTTCAGAGGGCACTGCAGAGAACTGGGAAGACTCAGAACCAGTGTCAGGAGAGCTGGCGAATCGCTCCACAGGGAGTCACTCTGCTCCCCAGAGGCGGTTGAAGAAGGTCACCACTCAACCGTGGCCACCCCCCACCCCACCCCGAGACCCGAAGGGAGTCTCTGCAACCCCCGGAACTGAGCTGCGAGAGGTGTTGGCTCGCCCTTTACCTTGACTCGGTGATCGGGGGCCAGGGTATGCTGACATTCAGATCACTGCCTCTCTGTCCCAATCACGGCGTGAGCAGTACCGCTTGGTTTTCCAAGACCACCTCCAGCTTCTCTCTCTCTTAACAAAACCCTTCTCATGTCACAGAATGTGTAAGAGCGGAAAGGGCCCTGCAGATGGGCCAGTCCCCGGTCCTTTCTTCACAAATGAAGAATCGGCAGGGCTGGGGCTGGGGCTGGGGAGCAGGCCTAGGGCAACAGGAGCCCGCTGCCAGGCTTGGTCCTGGAAAGCAGGCCTCTGGGCTCTGGCCTTGGCCTCCATCCACCAAGCCGGGACACCTGGAGAACTGAGAAGCTCTGCTTTCCACCTAGGGAAAAAGAGGCCAAAGGTTTTATTTTCCTCTCTCCCTTTCTTAGGTTGATGTCAGAGACAGCTATAAATTTCTATTTTCTTCTGAGGATGTTTTCCAACAGTTTCAGATGGGCTGCTTACCAAACGGAGGCTCTACATGGCTAGAAAAATGCTCATTTCAAGAAATGCCTTAAGGAAGAGATGGACTGGGCCCAGCTGTGAGGAGAAGGTCACGGTAGCCAGGCCCCACGTCCTGAGCAGAAATGTTATGTGCCCTGCGCCTGGTAAAACCAGCTCCTCAGAAAGCCTCAACAAACATTTTTTAATAAATAAGTTTATGACCAAAACGGTTCACCTGAGTGAAACCCAACTTTTTCCCCTAATGGACTGGTTGGCAGGGTTTTCTCTTTTCTTTTAGCACTGAAAGGAATCCAAACCATGTTCCCTGCGAGTCGCTGCAAGTCTGAGCGGCTGTGCCTTCCCCAGACTGGGCCCGTGGGAACGGCGCGTGCGGGATTTGCTGGGCAATCACAGAACATCAGAGCCAGAAGCCTCCTGAAACGCCAGCTGGGTAGTCTGATCCCCATCTCTCCCCATCTTTCAAATTTAAAAAGCCCAAAGAAGGGGGTGACTTGCTCAAGGTCACACAGGGGTTGGTGGCAGAACTGGGCTAGCAGCCACATTCCTGGCTCCTTGCCCAGACCCCCTAAGGGGTCACCTTGGGAGAGACACAAAAGCTTCCCTGTGTGGAGGCCCAGATCATTCTGGGAGTTGTCATCCATGTTTCCCTCGTTGGCCTGTGGGTTCCTTGGGGCTGGAGATTGGCTGACTCCTCTCTTAGAAAACCAGTGTCTCAGTGGGACCCATCTTGCTTCTTGGTGATTCCACAGACACTGGAGCGTGGCTGTCCCCACAACCTCAGAGAATCCTCTCCAGCATTCCTGCAGGATCAGACAACACTCGACTTTATGGAGACCTCCTGGTCCTGCTCCCTTACTGTTGCTGATAGCAAGGGAGAGGCCCAGAGAGGGGCTATGACCTGGCTAAAAATCACACAGCTAATCAGCAGCAGAACCAGCCTGCCCAGGATGCTATAAATTGGGGCAGAAAGATTTTAGCCCATCTCCCTTCTCTTAGAGCCCTTCTCAAGTGGGGTGAGAGTCTCTACCTTCTTGCCCCCCTAAAGCCTGACCTCCCAGAACCTTGTCCTTTCTTTGGCTCTGACCAGCTCTGGGCATTGCCTTTGTACCCAAGACCTCTGCAGGTGGCCCAGCTCACCTGCAGCCCAGACCACTTCAGCTGCTCCCTCTGCTCCCCAGGCCAGCGCTGCCTCAATGGGGAGAACCAGGTTGGGGCTGAGCCTGGTCCCATTAAACCTCCAGGCCCTGCCCGTCACTAGTCATCTGGGGCTCTCTCCCTCGAGATCCCATTCTGCTGAGGCCCTGAGTAATGTTTTTCTGGGGACTCCCAAGTGGCCGATTAACAACTACCACTGGGCTTTGCTGATATGGAACAACAAGAGTAACAGTCCTCACTGGGGCTCAGAACTCTGTGGTCTGTAGATGTTTTCCCAGCTATTGAGCAAGAACTAGGAGCCCCTTGTGACAGATGAGGAAACTGGGGCTCAGAGGTGGAAGGAATTGCCCCATCACATGGCAAGCCAAGGGCCAGGGCGGATTTGAGGTCTCACATTTTCTCAGGTTAGCCTCTGAGCCAAGGACACACAGAAGGAAAAGTCTGTGAAAATTCTCTATGTAAATGTGAAGTCCGCCCTGTGCTATTGGCCAGGGGATGGGAGCAGGGCTTTGAGTGTTTTGAAGCTAGAGGAAAAAGAGTGACAGAGCAGAGAGCCGCTCCGTTTCCCAGATCTTCACTCTCTCACACTCGCCTGCCCTCTTTTGCTCACTCTTGCTCTTTATCTTAGACACATTATAATAACTCAGGCTAACCTCCTCCAGGAAGCCCTCTGTGATTTCATCTTCCTCTAGCCCCCAGCACTCTTGCTCTCCTCTGGATTAACCAGGCCTGGCTGCCTATGCTGCTTATTTTTAAAATTAGAACTGAGGCTCACTCTTCATTCCCTATTGAATGAAGCTGGCTGTGTGCCGGCTGCCCAATCACAGTGAATCGACATAGTCTAGTAGGGATAGCCAATGACAACACTGACCGGCAATTCTATCCAGTGTGATGTGTACTACTATAGAGTTGAACGGCTCAGAAGAGGGAACAAAGCAGGCTTGCATCATGGAAGACATCGTTTGGGTTGGTTATGAATTATAAGCAGATGAGGAGAGCCCTCCAGGCCAATAAGGCAGGGACAAAGTCAGGAAGGGCTGAAAAAGCAGGAGGTGTGTTCAAGGGGCAGATAGAGGAGCATTTGGGATGCAGAACAGAGGGAGAGACTGGGAGTCTCAAAAAGGGAAGCTACAGAGGTCAGCAGGGGCCAGAAAGAGAAGGAGCTCGAATTCCAGACCGCAGAATAAGAACTCAGCACAAGACATGGGAGAGCCAGGACCAGCCTTCAGGCAGGGGACTAACAATCAGCTGCCTGTTCCAAAAAGATCACCCCCACTGCCACGTGGCGAGTAGATTCTCGTGGGAGAGGCTAGAGGCAGGGAGACCAGCGGGGAGCTGGGTAGCAAGAAGAGGAATAGGGAGAAGTAACAGTATTCCCGATGACGGAAGCTGCTGTCTTTCCTGAGCGCTTACTTGTGCTAATGATGTGCCCAGGTGGTCACCTGCCTCATCTCAGCTCATCTGAGTGGTGGTTTTCATTACCCTTGCTGTATAGACGATGAAGCTCCGAAAGGTTAAGTCACAAAGCCTGCTTTGGCCCCTCCTCTGGGCCCACAGGGAGTCACTGTTAGAATTCTAGCCATCTCGAAGGCCCATGCCTTTTACTACCCAGGATCAGAGAAATCTGCAAGGGGCAAACTGGCCAAAATGTGATAACTGCATATGAAAGAGTCCAAGCATCCTGGCTTGGGTGACAAGGCAGATGGTGGTGGGTGGTGGACAGTGCAGGTGGGAAGACAAGTTTTCGGAGGAAGATGAGGAGTTCCGTTTAGGACGTATTGCATCTGAGGAGCTAGTGGGACATCCAAGTGGGGATGTCCAGCAGATATTTGAGGGTTTAAGTCTGGAGCCCAGGAAAGAGAGAGCTGAGTTGCAAAGACTTGAGGTTGAGGGGGGAGCCTTTGTTTTTACGGAGCTAGGGAGAGAGTGTGGAGCGAGAAGGACAGAACCTTGGAGGAAACCAGCACGAGATGGGGGCAGAACAAGAAGGGTCTGCAAAAGATGCTGAGAACAAAAAGAGAAACGCCCAGAGAGAATGCAGCCATGACGACATCACAGAGGAGCTAGCTCCAAATGGCACGTGCAGCCAGCTGCAGTAAAGCTGCCGATGGGACCAGAGGTTGAGAAGCAGGGAGTGTCCGGGGGGCCCAGCGAGGAAGAGGCCCCTGGTGACGCTGGGCTGAACAGGTCCTGAGGAACAGTGGGTGTGGGAGGTTGGGGGCTGAGTAAGTGGAGAGAGGGGTAGACAGCATTTTCAAGATGCTTGGCTGTGAAGAGAAATGTGTGGTTGGAGGGCCATGAGGGGTCAGGGAGGATTTTGTTGTATTTTTAAACTGGAGATAATTTGAGCAGATTTCCCAGCATTTGTTGGTGGAAATAAGCCAGTAGAGAGGGATGAGAGGAAGGATGGTCGACAGAGGAGAAGAGGAGCTTCTGAGCCCAGAGTCTAGACGTCGTGGTGAGTCAGGTGGGGGAAGGGGTAAAAAAAGGAGGGGTGTAAAAGCAGGTTTGCAGATTTAGTGATGCGGGGTGGGGGGAGGGGTAAAGTCTCATTTCAGACCAGAATGGTGGGTGAATTCAGTGAAGATGTGGAGGTTGTAGGGAGTTTATTCTCTCCACCCAATGGGACCTGGAGCCTGTATAGCGGGGCGGGCTCAGATCTTGGCACCAGACCGGTTGGACTCAAGCCTGGCATTTAGCTTCCTGAGACTGAGTTCCCTCTTCTGTACAATGGGGGTTTGTCCATTGAGTGAGGAGCTCTTGAGTGCAAGCTCTTTGCTCGTGCAGTGCAGGTTGAGAAGAGGTGAAGGGTGCAAGCTGGTGTCGTAAGCATTTTCCACCCAGATTGCCCAAGCCCTGTCCCTCTCTCCTGGGGCCACTGGGATGCCTGTAACATTCACAGGCCAGGCCTCTCCCTCCTTAGAAAGTGGGGAGGTATAGATGTGTCTCCAGGTGGAGCCCGTGCATCTCAGGAACTTTTTTGAGCTCAGAAGAGAAAACAACCCGGCCCCTCTGAAGTTCCCACCCACGCAGAGGCCAGTGGCCACGCCTCTCTGCCCTGGAAAGTCGGTGACACTCTGTCTCCCTGTCTCGCCCCTACCGCTCCTCACTCTCGCGGCGTGAAGCTCCGGCAGACTCGAGAGGCTGGAAAAGGAAAGTGCCAAGGAGGAAAGAGAAGGTATAAATACATTCAGGGAGAACCTAGGCTGCCTTGCCAGCTGTGGGCAGGAGGCCATGGAGCTGGAGCTCCTAGGAGGAGAGTCCAGAATCAGGACCCAGGGTTGGGGTCTCCAGCCCTCTCCTCACTGTCACCATCTTTCCCGCCACCAGGAGGCAGTGATGCATCAGTTTTGGGGGCCTAATGCCCGGGGCGGGGCGGGCGTTAAAATCCGAGCTCCTCCACCTACCAGCTCCGCTTGAGCCAAGGCCTTCCCTTCTCTCTGCTTCTGTCTCCCCCGAGTGAGTGGGGGTAAGAACAGCAGCGCAGTGAGGGTTTAGTGAGATACTCTAGGTGAGAGTATTTTGCAAAATGTGAAGGCTGTGAAGTTTTCTATCGCTGTCCCCTGGATGTCTTCTCCTCTGAGGTTTTGCACCCTGGAAGGCTGGAGGCAGAGGAACTGGCTGATGAAAAGTTCCCTGAGGGTATGGCCAGCCTGTTCAATGCTCACTGACCAGGGTCACATAGAGAACCAGGATATGATCCAGACCTTGTCCATTTTC